TCTGTGCAAGCTTATCAGAACTGCTGCTGAAACAACATCTTCAGAAACTGTGGCCGATCTGAAAAAACGCTCATGAACAAATCTCAACACCTCGATGTTAAATGCAAATGTTATCATGTTTTAATTGTGCTTGCTGGTAGAGTTTTTTTGATGTCTCAAATCGTGTCCTGATAGACAAGATGTGAAAGATCTTTGTTTGTAATACCACTATCTACCCTCATGTTTCTCCCCCTTTTCCTATCTAAGATTATTATCTGATAAGGATAAGAAGGCCGCGCTTTCTATAGTTGCAGCTTCATGCACTCCGCCCATCTTTCGGACGACTGTACGTACATATTTGTGTTGTATCTCGGTGCAATGTCAATAAAGTTTATTCTGATTCTGATTATTTTGTCCTGATGCATGCTCAATAATCTAGGAGTCAGGTCCTCTGGACAGGTTCTTCTTCAAAAGATGGTCCAGCACAGAAGAGCAACATCATCAGGCCAGGACTCTGCAGTCTACACTCGTCTCCAGGTCAGTAGTCACTCGTTCAGGGATGAAGATGTTCACATTCTTGACAGAGAGGAATGATGGTTTGAGAGAGGAGTGAAGGAAGCCATCTTTGTGAAGAGAAACCATCCATCATTAAATGGGCGGAGGCCTCTGTGTTCAACTAACTGTCCCCCTCTTACAATGCTGTTATTGCATCACTCTGCCCTCTGTGAATATCAACTAACAATCTATTATTAGGCTGTTGGTCCTCCTTTTGCATGTGAACAACTACCGGTAGTTCTGGATGTCACCAGCAAATTGGTTGATCCACCATGAAAATGTTCTTATAAGACTGAGTTTGTTGCAGCTTCTCAAACTGAAGAAGTCTTCTGGATAAATGACAAAACGTTTCATCAAAGAAGAATCCATCCAGACGATCTGACTAAATCTTGTTAGATACATTTATTTTGCTTGCTTTAGAAAAAGGGGGCTCAGATTTTATTTTTTATTTTTTTGAAGTGAGATTTGTGGAAAGGACATGAACAGTTAATATCTTACTTGTTGTAGACAGCACGTTAAATGGCCTCAGTTTAGAGATCTAAGGCATATTCAGAAGACAGTTCCATGCAATGGTTGCACAGACCAGTCCATCTTTAGGCTTCCTGTTGTATCCTTCCTGTTGTATCCCAAATCCCGGTCTGGGAGCCTTTCTGGGTGGAGTTTGCATGTTCTCTCCGTGCATGTGAGGGTTTTCTCCGGGTACTCCGGTTTCCTCCCACAGACCAAAAACATGCTTGTTAGGCTGACTGGTAACTCTAAATTGTCCCTAGGTGTGAATGAGAGAGTGAATGGTTGTTTGTCTCCATGTGTCCCTGTGATGGATTTGCGACCTGTTCAGGATGTACCTGCCCCTCGCACAGTAATTGCTGGACATGGTCACCTGCGACCCCCGTGACCCAACATGGAAGAAGCGGGTTAAAAAAATGGATGGATGGATGAAACCTTTAAAGAAATCAAGGTGGACATCTTCACTTCCTGTTGCAAGGTGTTTCAGGTTACAGTAGCTGAGTAGGAAAAGGTATTTTTGCCAAGTTCAGTCCACACTGAGGGAACGCTGCAGGTAATGATGTCCTGAGAGTGCATGTTGTAACTGCACTGACGGCATGACATATGGGAGGAGATATAAGAAGGCAGCAGAGCAAGGA